AGGGTTTGTACATTTTATTATCAGCTGAGCTGTGATGAAAAGAAAAATACCGTCAAATACAGTGAAACCGGTGAAAATGTTGAAAATACTGTGATATAAAATTTTTATCATATCGCCTAGCTCTAATTACTTGCTTGATGCATTATTTTAATATGCTTGCTCGCACTAACAATAAGTACAAATATTATTGTAGCAGATTTTTTTTAATGGAGTTTGGTTTGAATATTGTTTTGAGTAATTTTAGATTAAATAACCCACTTATGCTTGTTTGTGTTTTTACGTTGTCTTTTATTCATAGACGTACAGTATATAGGCATATTAACAAGGTCGTAATCTCCATCTCAGAAGTGAGGGGGACAAAATTTTCAGACGTCTATTAAGTTTTTTTTTGTCATCTTCTTGCATTCAATCTAACCTAGTTGAAAACACACAACACACACAGGCACCAGGAGACAGACTTTAGTTCTTTTACACAAGTGATCCTACTATACTCATGTTTGCTGCTACTCATGGCCATCAGAAGCACTGTAGTGTGTGTGAAGGGCACACTGTTGGGGGGTTCTCCCCCAGGAACTTTTGATGAAAGTAGATGCTGTTTCCTGCATTCTGGAGTTGCTAAACATATTTCTACCTACATAAACACTTGATTTCATAACTATTTCAGTGTTTCCCCTACGAAATTGGTCTTGGCGGGGCTTGGAGGTGGGGGTACTTGTTTTATAAAAACATAAATTTACGTGACTCACCTGCAATTATGGTAATAAATTTACACACACATGAATATTTAATTGCCCAACTACATCCTATCTAAGGACTCCTCATGATAATTATCAATAAAATTATTATTGATAATAAGTGATCAGAACTGTGTGCAGAAGATGATCTGAGTCCAGAGTTCTCAGTTTGAAACCTTCTGGAGCTCTTCTGTGTGAGCTCTTCTGTGTGACTCCAGGTGTGACAGAGTGTGGATGGTTGATTGTCTCTTTTGTGTCTCTGATGGAGACTGGAGACCTGTCCAGGTGTCTCTGGTGAACTGGAGACCAGTCCAGGTGTCCCCTGCCTTCACCCAAAGGCAGCGAGGACAGGTTCCAGCCCCACCCTGACCCTGATTAGGAACATGGAGGACAGGAGGAGGATTTTTCGTTTGTAATGTTTGTTCAAAATAAACCTGCTTCTTATGACTTCTGTAACATGTTTTAAATGAAATATTATCAGTAAAAACCTCAAATCAGGTCCTTTCTAAGAATCATTAGAACTCTAGAAGAACTTTAACTCAGCAGAGTTTCTCCCAGGATTTTTTTTAACCGTGGTGGTGACCTCTGATGTGGAGGTTTGACAAAATCTGGTTGTCCTCAAAACATTTTGGTTGTCCGAAAA